GCGTTTGAAGTTTAGATCTAGGGTTCGAGACAAATTGTGTGTTGATATCGTTTTCACAAACCCCTGCTTTGTATTTCTGATCTGGTTTCAATTTTTCTGTGGATTTTATTTTCGTTGTGACGAAGAAGATCACAGGTTAGGGTTACTATTCTGGATAAGCGTTATGACGAATCGCGACTCTGATTTTATCTCAATTTCGTTGTTATAACGAAGAACATCGATTGATTTATGTTATGAGAAACGAAATTGGGAATTGCAATTTCTCGATTGGTTTAATTAGAGTTACTTATTTATGTTCTGATAGAAATTGCATTGACAACAACAATCTCTCGATTCAAAAGCAAAAGTGAATTTTCTTGCACGAATTCATTATGCTTCTTCATGCAGGAACTGTGGATCCAGAGAAGTTTCCACTTTCGAAGAAACAGCTTCCTCTGCATTATGCTAAGAGATTTCTCTAATTTCAGGCCCCTCACAACGATGGTAACACTCTGTTATTGCTGGTTTTGTCTTCTTCTTTGGTCATGGAAGAGTAATTAACTAATATAGATTTCTATTTTTTATTGTTGGTGAAGGTTGGTTAAGTGTCCACATTGCGCTAACCTTAGCGGCCTACACATTCCTTTAATACAATCCAAGGCATTTGGCGGAGATGTGGAATGTGGAAACCGAGATGGCTTTCTCCGAATTAGATGTAAGATACTTAAACCATTGATATCAGTGAATGCCACTCAATGTTTATTAGGCAAATGGTAACTTGTTTCTTTTGGTTATTACATGATGTTATGGATTTCTTCAAGTTCCTCTGCAAAAAATGGTAAAAAGCACTTTCAAATCCCATATAGTTCATTATCTTTCTTCTTGTTCATTCAACATAGTCACGAGATAGCTTGAGAATACATTTCATTCATTTTTTTCCACTGGGTGGCTCCTAATACACCTTTGTCCTTCATTTGTCAGTGACTAGCTCAGATCGGTGACAACTTGATCAACTGTTTGGGATTGGGAAACTTCACTGAGCCTTTGGAATGATGTTAGATTCAATTCAAAGTAAAATCATGCAAGCCAACTAAACAAGTATGTCTTGAAAGTGAGTTCTATGAATCTCTCTGGTTTCAAGTACACTAATCACAAAAGGTCGGCACACATAGTTGCAAAGTTAAAAACAAAAATATGCTCTGTTCTCACACTCTTAAATGTTCATTTGCTTGGTCAAACATGAAACAATGGCGATGATCAACATTCAGAGACCATTCCAACTCTAGATGATGTTTGAAAGGAAAGAGGTCTCGTCTTGTTCAATTTTGCCACAAGAAAAAAGCCAAGGTGAGAGATTTCTTCACTCTACATCTTTAAATCATCCAATCAACAAAGATTTCAGATTCAATCTCACTTCTCGTATTCTGTTATGTTTGAGACTTCAAATAATTAACAAACAAAATCTGACCTGACTATGCTTGCTAATTGCTATACCCATTCCACTTGTAGGTGAATAAAATTGCCATAATATGGAACGGTCTACGTTTGTCTTGTTTAGCCGGAATTTGACTAAGGTTAGCTGGATTCTAATTATCTAATATATATAGATTCGATATCCAATAGATGGTCGCCCTTTCTCTCCCAGGCACAGGTATCGAGGAGTCGCAACCAACTTACAGCCGCCCAATATGGTCGATCTCCACCGGATCTGCTCCGTTCTCTGCCCAGTCTAAGCTCGATAAGCCGGCCTCTTCGTGGGAGCTTAGTGTCCCGAAGAGCTCGCGAGTTTGGACCGTCGTCGGTGACGGTTTGTGTCCTTCCCTCTATCTCTTGAGATGATGACTTCTGTCTTGAGTCGAGCCCTTTTGTCCTCGCCGGGCGGTAAACCGTGTGTAGGGCTGAGCACAGCTCACTCTCTCCTTTGGCTGAAGCCTTGACAATCCCCTCCCCACCGCCGGAACCACTGGTCCCTCCAGATCCACCGGATCTGTCCTCACCGCCATGTTCCGGTCACCCATCTGTGAGGATAATCTCAACTCCACCTCCGTCTGCGGCTTCAAACTCTGCCCCGCCGACCGGAAAAAGCCCTCCCTCGCCGAGACCTCTGTTTGTCTTCACCGCCAAATTCTCCATCACCTTTCCAGTCTGTGGTTGGCGAGGAGACTTCGCTCTGCCCTCCGCTCCTCCTGCATCTTTCCCGCCGTGGTTGCTCCACACCGGCCTGACACCACGGCAACCCATCCCTCTCCCGTACGGCTGTAAACCCTACCCTCCTCCCCACATGATTGAACCATGGGCCGACAGATTTAAAACATTGATATGGCCCATTAAAACATGTGGGTCTCGTAGCCCAGTAAGAAAGAAGAAAGAAGTAACAGATCCACATGCTGATTTATTGGGGCTATCTTCTTCTTTAGATTGGGCTTGGCCCAAAAATAGTATAAAGGTTGGGCTATTTAGTGTGATAGGCCCACACCCAATGTTTTTAAAAATGTAGATTTTTAAAAATCTTATTTGCTTTTGAGCTAGTTACAAAATTTTCTGGATTCTCAAATCGTGTAGTTTTTAGTGTTTATATCCCTTTTATTGTGAGAAGACACAAGTTTTCTAGGTTCTCAAACCCTGTAAGTGATTCCTGGTGGAAGAGTTCAATTCCACTTTCTTCCAGCTCTTTGAGATTGGTCGAAACCTTGAGAATTATGCCGGGTTCTTTAAAGTCACAATATAAAGTGACTATCCTGAGACATTCCAGCCTTGCCGCGAAGACCCTCTTGACGCATCTGAGGCATGTTTTGGATTCGCTGTCCATCTACTACGATGATCTATCTGCTTTATGTTTTATCGCATTCCAATTATGTTGTATTAATCTGGGAAGATGCTTAATTCCCTCATATTGTATTCTGATCTTTTAAAGTAATGAAAAGTTTGTTGACAAAAACAAAAAATATCCAATAGATGTGGTTACCAAATCTATTAGAAGAATATATTTTAGAATGTCATAGTTAATTCGTGAGGCTTGACTAATTTGCATAGTTGTGAAAATAATCCGAACATGGAATCTATTAAGTTTTGTATTGATCGTCAGAGGTGCCATGATCTCTTTGTTTTCACTCTATAATATAGAATAGTTAGTTTCTAATTAATATGGCAAATAAACTATTCTTATCCTCCCATCTAACTAGGCATGTGCATACGGGTATTCGGATCTGTCCTAACGAGTACCGCTTCTGTCGGGTAAGGTTTCGGATCGGGTACAGGTTTGAGTTTTTTTGGTACAGGTTCGGATCGGATCACAATTAATTGTACCCAAAAAATTTGGGTACAGGTTCGGGTACAAGTTCTTTTAGGTTCAATTGTATTTAAAACTGTTTTTT